TTATTTGTTTTTCGAAATCATTTATTTTTTACGCTTCACCGCCCGAAACCGATTTTATTAACAAATCAAAGACCGAAAACGTTTTAAATTTATGTTTTCGTTTTTGATTAACGGTTTTAATTAATATTTTTGAGTAACGTTATTTTTCTATATCGTTTCCAAACAACGATTTTGACTATATTATTTTAGGGTTTTTTTTTAAATTCTTATATAACAGTTACACTCAATTAGTGTTTGAAAATTTCATGAAATTTAAAAAAATGAAATATTTCGTGAAATATTTCATGAAATATTTCAAAATATGTGAAATATTTCAGTATTTTAATATATATGGTTTTATTTTTAAATAAGTTTTATATTTACATATAATTGTCATAAATTACCTTCATCACTATATGGTACCTGTATGTATACCTAACCTTTGGTATTATACATTTAAATTGGTATTCAAAATTTTTAAATATTTTAATGTTTAAATGATACAAGTAGGTATACAATATTATACATGTTTATTGTATACTTACTGAATTCTGACATTAGAATTTAGAACACTGAACATTGTGTTAGAAAAATAAATAAATTGTGTTTTTATTTGTTTTAAAAAAATTTCAATGTTTCACGTTTTTGTGAAATATTTCATTTGAAATATTTCATGAAATATTTCTCATACTTCAAACACTACACTCAATACAGGTATTCATAATTCTTAATATTTAAATAACTCAAGTTATAATACCTATTATTATAATTTATATGAAAATTAACAATTAAAATTACTTTACATTTTAAAAGTGCATTAGTAAAGTGCAGCATTAGTTCTAGAGAAAAAATGTAATAATCCTGAACTGAGAAGTTTACCACTCGAGTTGCTTTTACTCACTTAACAATTAATTATCAGGATTACCTACCAATTTTTCGATAACCGAATTTTTATTATACATTCTGAGCGGAGCAATGAGCAATGATATAATGTTTTCACAATGATATAATTGTTTATTTTGTATATTTTATCTCATTTTGGGACAGTAAAAAAAAAAATTGACAAAATTAAGGAAAAAATGAGATTTTTACGCAAAAACAATTTTTGATTTTGTTATTTAGTGTAACTTTAAAAAAGAACAGTTGAATGTTGATACATAAAATGTTCACTGAATGTTTATATTAGCAATTTATATGTACCTTAAAAGCTTCGAAGTATAGTTTTTTTAATTATTGGCGATAAAAATGTTTTTCCTCAAAGAACTGGAAAATGTAATACTATGTGAGATGAGTTTTTGTTATTGCATATTAAAAAAATTAGGGTAAGTCCACAGTAATTTTTATGAGCGTCTGGAGTTAAAATGTTGACAAAATTCGTCAAAATCACGAAGATGGGAAAATCATTTCTAGTTAGAAATTCTCAAAAGCGTTTTCTATTTATATATTATAAGCTTTGAAAATTGAATACAACATTTCCCTTAGGTTTTCCTACATTTACAAAAAAAAAGGTTACCGGGAAGTCAAATTAATATTTAACGAGAGTTTGAAGTTAGACATTGGATTGAACAAATTCTCGTTCAACGATTTTCTTATTTTGTTGATAATCAAAAACTAAAACTTTCAATTTTCAACAAATGTTTATTTTATCATTTTATATTTACGTGATCACGTAATTTTATGGAAAATAATTGTCCGAAATGATGAAAAATATGGAAAGTAAAATTACGGACCGTTTTCGACTACGGTAACCGACGACGGTTGAGAAACATATAATTTTATAAATGAAAGGCACAAAGAGTAACTCCTAACATGACTTTTTTGATAAAATGAAAATTCATTTTTAGGTTAATTAACTACCTACCCAGCTATTTAGTTTAAAATATAGGTACCACATAGTTAAGTATAATGATTTTGAAGTTTTTAACCATATTATAATATAAATATAAACAAATCAACCATTTTTTAGTCTATCTATGTTTTGATTTTTAAGTAATAAATTCATAAGTGTAATTTGGGAGGTGTCAGGGAAGGCTCGACTGAACAAAAATACTTTAAAAATCAAATAACATCTATTATCAATTCAAAATGTATAATAATAAGATAGATACCTACATACTACCTAAAGACAGAAAATATTCAATGCCAATATAAACATCACCACAATTCTAGACATAACTTCATATGACTTATTAGGACATTTTGTAATTCGTACTTGTTTAATGTTCTATAATAAAGTGTAGGTATTTATATTTTGTTGTCATGGATCTATTTAACTATTTAACTCAGTAACAGACCCTATTCACTATTCAGTATCTGATGCTCGGAATACTGGTACGGTCCATACCATTTATAACAAAAGAAATAAAAAACGCGGAAAACTGGTACTATTCAAAATTTAATTTTCAGGGGTCCTAAAATATTTACAATGTTTATAATATAATTTTGATAAATCACCATCGTCAACAAGTTAAATTTAAATAATACTTAAAATCAAAAAAAAATATGTTAGCAATCAAAATTACCAAAAAACACAAATAAGTACATACAAAGTAGCAGGCAGGTAAAATAAATATAAAATATAGGTACAATAAATATAATATAATATAATTTATGAATAATAATTATTATTTCGTATACTTTGCTATATTATTTAAAAATTGTCTTAATTGAATTTCTTTATTTAAGAAGTTCTCACATTTGTTGTATAGTTTGTCTTGCAAAGTATTTTTTTTTTTTTTTTAAACTTTTAGGCGGTAAGGTATTGTGTATGTTTGATTCAAAACGGGTTTTTTCAATCCGCGTTGTCGCTTCATCTTGTTGGATACACTTTATGACTAACCAAAATGATGGATTACTTGTTCCTACAAATTTATTAAAATAGCTATTCCACCCTTCACAAAAATTGTTTGTTCTGTTGCCATTATTTAAAGTAATTTCGCGTACATTCCAGAAGTTTGGAGAAAATATTGGGCTCCCAGACTTCCCACTAACATAAGTTTCGTCAAAATATTTTAGTAACGGTAACAATTCTACAGGTGTCGTTGTATATAAATAAACCATTCCATCTATTAATTCACTGAGGGGTAAAAACGCGTTAATCATACCGTAACTTATTCTAAAATCTATGTTATTTCTGTATAAGGAACATATACCTAATTGTTGAGCTTTTCGCCATGTACTGTACATTGGCATAAATGAAAAAAACACTCTTTGACTTGCACGCTATCACCAAACACGTCATTTGTTGCACTCATAGCAGCGATTTTGAAATCCATTATTACATATTTTGGTTTTGGATGTCGAGAAACTTGAATGCATTTAATGATAACTTGTTGTAAAACAGTCGTATACGATTTTTTTGACTTATTTGATAAAAACGAGTACACACAAGTAGATGCTTTACTTTCATACTCTCCTCGTATTACGTAAAGTTCAGTTTCATCTAATTCAGTAGGTATTTCAGTTAAAATGTTAAGTATAGATATCTATCTATATTACATAGGTATGTATTCTTACATTTTTAAAAACTTAAGAAATTATAAATCAACAGGTTTGAATTATGTTAATAAAAACTTGAAACAAGTCTTAAACACTTTAATTTTTAATAATTAAAGAAAAGCGGAATTTCAGTAAAAATTGTTATTTTGATATTTTTTTTTTATATATGTATTGTTATTGTCAAAAAGGGCTAAGCCCGTATAACTAATAAAATAGAATAAATAAAATAATAAACATGGGCAATTTCCGATACGTCATACGTATATTTTAATTGTTAGGTATATTGAAAAAATTCATAAAATGTGTATACAAGATTTCAATCACATTATTTAAGTACCTAGGTATTAATTAGACGTATGATAGGTGTACCTATACAATATATGATTTATAACGAGTTGTTAATTTATTTTTCTTTCACTAACATAAAATAATATTAATAAAGAATATCAAAAATATTTTCTTAGTTAAAAATATAGTTAATGAATAATTATTATAATATACATCTTCTTTGTACCTATATAGTTTTGTGTCTTTAAAGCAGCAAAATGTTGAATAGTACCTAGGACCTAGGTAGTAGCCACTAGCCAGTAGACTTAATTTGTATTGTATCTTATCTAGTAAGTTGTAACCAGTGTTCATAAGTACCTATTTAAAGGTTTTTTTGGTGTAGAACACTTTTTAAATACTTTTCTAATAGTTTTGCCTTATGACTTAATATAGTACGAATGTAAAATAGCTAATTTTTTTTAACAAATTTTATTTTGATATATTAGTTTGTTTTTCACATTACAACTTTTGTATTTACATCAAATATTTGTGCAACAATATATTTTGTTTTATTTTGTTGTTTCTTTAAATAAACTACTACCCAAAGTGGGTAAAAATGTTTAAACACTTTTTATAGGTATTCTTTACAAATCTGGTTGCAGCTTAGATAAGTAGGTTTAAAATTTAGTATTTAGAATCTTGTATTTAAAAATTATAAATAAAGTTGGTATTTAGTACCTCTTACTTAATCAAATAAATTAAATGTGTTTTGGTTTAGATACCTACTCTGTTTTAGTATATTGGCCATCCTTCAACCCTCATTATGAGTAGATTGGTTTCATCAAAAGAACCTTTCATTAATTATGGATACTAACTTATATAATAAAATATTTAATTTAAATCTCAGAATTTCTTTTTTAATTTTGACATTTGGTATTGTTTAAATAAAAACACAAAAGAGTAATGACTACATTTCAGTATATAACTATACACTATAATAGGTACATGATGCAGGTGACTAGGTACTTAATATGCATAATAATTGTATATAATATTTTTTTTTTATTTTTCTTTATTAATATATACACATTACACAATCTATACACAATCGGCATAATAAGAGTATGATCTAATGACAAGGAAGAATGCAATTTTGAATGAAGAAGCCACCCACTGATGACACTTCGTAGTATATAATATAAAATATTAATTGAATATGTATATTAATACAAAATAATGAATTATTAACAAATAGATTATGACAAAAACATTCTTTGAAAACGAAGTACATCTCCTCGTAAGACTGGGCACGTTCTATGATATTGACCATCCAACACTGAAACACATGTTTCGCACACCCAGGCATGACCAAAAGGCACTATATGTTGAGCTACAATTTCACCAGGAGTAGCAGTTAAACAAACCATACAATTCCTTGGATTGTGTACTATCTGGTGCATTTTGTGGTACTTCTGGACCTGGTTCAACAAAGTCGTCTTCAAAAACATCATCATTTGACTCATGATCATGTTCATTACCTAGTGCCCAATGTCCTTCTGAAATTAAAATTACCTTTGCCTTCTTTCATAGCCAGAACAGGAGTATGAACATTTCCCTAGAAATTGCCATACACTTAATAGACCTGCTGCTTGATGTTAAACAGCCCTTTTTATCAACCTTGAGTTAAGAAGGTACTTAGTTTTAAGGTTCCTTGTTGGTTGCAGACCATTGGAAATTTGAGTAACCTTAGTGTGGTACTTTTGGCTCAACTCACATATTTGACCTGATGATTTAACCAAATTTATTATTATAATATTTTATAATATATGTGTTTGTTATACTAACATAATATAATAATATATATATATATATATATATTATGTCTTATAACTTATAAAACATACCTAATAATATATAGCTCATAGACATATTAATATGTATATGTTAATATTTATATGTCTATATGATATAGCTTCATATTATCAAATTATGCAGTTTCGCAAACAGTCAAAGATTGTCTTAACATCACGGTTTAAAATCCTAAATTGTGCTTAATGAAACACTTTTCATTAAATTTAAAATGATACTGAATTCAATATTATAAATGGTACAGGTAGGTAGGTATTTAATATTTATGGTTAAAACTTCAATTTAATAAATATTATTTGCATGATTTTCAAATTGCCAACTCATAAAACTAAGTATAAAGAATATTGAATTAATCACACAGGACAGTTACCTACTACATTTGTATAGTTAAATACATATTATATTATATAATTTGTAAAGTGACTCTAATAAATGTTTACTTTATAGTTTAAACCATTTATAAAAGTAATCATAAATGATAATATACCTACCTATCTAAAAGCTGAAATTTAATATTCAATCACATTAAGGTGACCACATTAAAAAAACAAAATCTAAGATAATGTCTTATTATTTCCGATATCTTCTTTCACTACTTATATTCTTTTGTACAGCAGTATAGCTAAAATATTGAATTATATGATGTGGGAGGGGGAGCTTCATTTTTTTGTGTTTCAAAAATTGGAAAATATGTCACAAGTTAATCTTAAGATGATCTTACAACGATTTAAACCAATCGAATACACATCATTGTGCATTTGTGCACTGTTACACACTATAGCCAAATCGTTGAAGCAAGTGGACGTGTTTTATAAAACGTCGAAATCATACAGTTTGAATTATTTATTTATTTATTTATGTTGTATATCAACGGGTATATACCCTTTTACAAATAATATAAAGGACATATATCAGATAAAAACTAAAAACTAAATAAGTGTAGTAAAACCTAACAAAAACAGATAAAATAATATAAAAATAACTCTGAAATAAAAGTAATACATATATAAAATTATAGTTACATTATAAACATTTTTTTTTTCAAATTAATCAATCAATATTTTTTAATAATAACATAGATTTAGATTTAAAACAATTGCGTGAGAGAAAAAATATATCTAAATGTGTTCAAATTGTATTAGCTAAAATTAAAGCTCGAGGGAAAAAAGAATTGGTAACACTATTCGTTTTATAATGAGGAACTAAAAATAATTCTGAATTACGTGTAATTAGATATGGAATTCGAAAGCTGATTTCAGACAACAATTCGGGACACACAATATTGTAATTAATAAGATCATAGACAAATATAGAATTATATAGCCTGTTTTGGATAAGACCATTAACATTTGGGATTTAGTAAACAGCTTTTCTGTTGTTATTTTTAATTTTTTTTCAATTTTTGGAAAATGTATTGTCATAGACGCAAATAACGAATAGCAAATACCGAGATTTGGGGTAGCTAAAACCCTATACTTAAATAATATTGAATAAGCTCATGGACATTTTTGTGGGTGATTGGCCCCTTAAGCCCCCCATCCTATTTGGGACTGAGTTTTGTATATTTCTGGTTAAAATAACTAAATTAGAAACGATTTTTATTTAATAATCGCGTGATTCCTTAATATTGAATTAGAACATTTTATTATTATGATAGCGCTATAAAATATGCATAATATTACGAACGTAAAGTTGGCCAATCGTCTTGGAGTATCAGTATTATAGATATCGACACACGATCTTAATCAATATTTTTCGAGAATTAGTGAAAAACTGTGACATAACCACATAGGCGTGTGCTCAGACCTATTTGGCATATCGCGAGCACACTCTAAATATAATATGGAATAAATCTTCTTTACCGGGTAACTATATTTTTTTTTTTTGTGAAACACATACCTATAACCTATTATAATAATATTAAAGTAGATATTTATTAAAATTCGAAAAATTTGCCAAATTCAAAATTCATATAGGTACACCCGTGCATGATTATTCATACTGCAGTACTGCACTATAATTTCAAAACTAATGATTTGCGAAATCGTTGTGTATTAAATTTTATATAAAATTATATAAATTTTATACCGTATATCGTACACAATATCGTGTTATTTTCAAGACTGCAGTTTGCGTGTCTATTTACAAATTTTACGAGTCACTGTTTTTCCCACCAAACCCATTTACAAAATTTAATAATAATATAAGTAATAATTTACAGATTTAATTTTTTTTTTTATGCATTAAATTATCATATTATTATTATTATTAGTATTTTTTGTAGTTGATAATAAAATAAAATTCCGTATACATGTAAAATAACATTTTTGATAAGCAAAAAAACGTTATTTGATCCAGTGCATAGGTTCCCAACCTATGGTCCACGGACCACTGGTGGTCCGCGAGACATTGTGATTTGTGAGGTGGTCCGCGAGCCATACTTACAAAATTTAAAAATATTTTTATAAATAAGTTTATTTATAAATTTATATTACATAGTGAAACCCATGTTATTATTTCAACCGTTAATCTAATCTTCTTTTTACATTGTTACATTAAGATTAGATTCTATCGGCACAATTTAACAGATTATGTTCAAAGTTAAGTATAATATTGTTGGTTTTTGTTGTTAGTTTCTCCATATCCGTATTTCGTAGTCGACGTTTGTGCTCTTTTTAATTTTTCGTGTGTTAAATTGTCGAAATATGGCTCTGAAAAGAAAGTATGACGATGGATACATAAAATTTGGATTTATCGCAATCGAAACTAAACGTGAAATTCGACGACAGTGTGTAATATGTCGTAAGTTAGAACGGCATTTAAAAAGTGTCCATCCTAAATTAAGTGATCGACCATAGTTTCTCATGGGTAAATCAGAAAATTAAAAAAAAATTAAACTAGGAACAAGTGGTTCAAGATTTGAGTCAAACGAAAAAGTTCTATCTGCGTCATTTAAAATGTCACAATTAATCACAAAATCAAAGAAACACACTCAATTGGTGAAAATTTATTAAAACCTTGTTCACTAACTGCCGTAGAAGAAATTTTAGGTGCGGAAGCTAAAAAGAAAATTCAAGGAATTCCATTATCTAATAATACTGTGAAAGCTCGTATTGATAAAATGTCTTTCGATACCGATAATCAATTATAAGCATTATTAAAAGCCTCTTATAAATAAATTATAAATTCTTGTTAATGAGCAAAAAAAAAAAAAAAAGTCTTCCTTAGTTTGCGTAAAATTGAGGTGGTCCGCGACCTATAAAATATTGTCGAAGTGGTCCCTGGTGGTAAAAAGGTTGGGAAACACTGAATTCTAGTGGTACATGACAATTTTTAAACTGCGTAGGTGGTACGCGGATATAAAAAGGTGAGAACTGCCGTATCACAGTATTATAGGTAGGTACTAATGATCATAATATTTTTTTTTTTCGTGAGATGAAGAAAAAAATTATGTATGAGCTGTCTTTTAGCTACCTGGGTATAGGAAAAGTAAACTTTAAACACCCTTTGAATCTTACTTGGTATAACTAGTATTATATACTTATAAATAGATACCTACTAGTATTCATAACCGAAGATTAACTTATAAAATTAGCCGATTATATATTTTTTATAATACATTCAATAGATTAATTAATCTCTCTACAATTGCAATAGAAAGTTTTAAATTGTTCAATCTGTTTCAGAATGTTTTCCGAGTTTTTCAAAAGGTATTTTATTAAATGATTTTCTTGGTGCGTCTGATAATATATCAATCAGGATAAAAATCTAATTTACTCATAATAATAAACATTTGGTGTACTACACATCTCTAAAATATTTAATCTATCAATCTATCTGAACAATAAGTATATCCATCGGATATGAACAAAGGCGGGCAAAGATAATGAAAACAATATTAACTCAAGCTAAGTTAAGTTAAGCGGGGACATGATCGATAAGTTGACAGTTAACATTTAACTAATTATATAAAATATTAACTTAACTCTGTTTAAAAAAAGTTAATACACTTTTTTTAATTAGTATGTGGATCACATAATTAGTGACTGCGTTCTTTCTAATTTCCTACATTATTATAACAAACAATGTTATTTGACTTTCATCGTAATGTACAGTGTCTATACCTACCTATTTTACTTTACATGATTATTTAATATTTAAATATCTACGTCCTACACATCACAATAAATAATTTAATAAATATTAATTTTTATATACCAAATACAAATTCAAGTTTATATTATAATCTTATTGAGTATGCGTATCTAATCTACTATATAACATAAATTTATTTACAAAATAGTTACTTTATCTAGAAAAATAACAGAAATATTAGTATTATCATAGTATTGGATTATTTTTATTTTAGTATTAATATTTACGTATAAAACCATAAAAAAGAACAATTTCAAAAATGTTTAACTTGATGCTGATTGTTGTTAAATAAACTAAGGAAAGCTAAGTTATTTAAACTGTCAACTAGTAAAATTCATAAGCTGATTAGAAAATTAACTAAGTAGTTAATGGCCGCCTTTGGATATAAAATCACAAATAATGAATGACAGTAGATGCATGAAATTTTCACTGGTTGTTTATATTTGCGTTTTCTATACACGATAAAATTTTCAAAATACTTTTATTTATTTTGAACTGTTTATGG